TGGAAACTCTTGGCCAGACTTAAATACAAATCGAGCTGGTTGTTAAATTAAGTCAAGCTAGGGTCGGAGGCAAGATTCATTTAGTTAAACTCGAGTCTATTAATTGAGTAATATATATTAAAAATTTTAAAAATTAAAGAAAATCCTTCATTCATAATAAAATCATGAGACTTAAAGTCTAACGATACTTATTAATGGGTCGAGCTTAACTCTAATATTAGTTATTCAGTCATTAATGAGTTTCCATTCTTTTCTAATTAAACGACTTATTAAATGTTAGTTATTCATTCAAACTCCATGAAAAAATTGTCTGATTCTCCATTCAAAATACTCCTAATTTCATCTCTATTGTCAAAAGAAAAAATAAAATAATCAGCATTAGTACCCACTATTAAAATGACATGCAATTCATTCGTCTCCACGACAAATAGAACCAAATAAAATAAAAAATAAAAAAATTGAATACCATTAGCATACATTTAATTATACTTGATTATAAGTGTGGTGTTTTTGTAATATGAATTGATTACCCCCTTTCTTATTCTATTATTTATGAGGAAAGTTGGATTAACATCAATTATCAAACCACAGTAAATGATAGAGAGAGATTTCTGAACATTAATCTGCTGCAATAATGTGAAAAAACACAAACAGAAATCATAATAAGCTCATATTTCTCCATCCCAAAGCTCTTCAAAAGTTCTGTACTCGCTGAGCGTCTCGTGGACAAACGAAGAACCCTTAATCAGCCTTACCTGCAACAATTTCACAAACAAACATCTCAATAATAAATCCGAAAAATAACCATATTATTATTATTATCTTAGAAAATTCAAATGATAACATGAATAACTCGCCTGCTCGATTTCAGAAAACTTGACGAATAAATCATCCGGAATGCTCCACGTAAAGACATCGAAATTCTCTTTAATCCTCGACTCGCTCGTGCTCTTTGGAAGAATGCTATGACCCATCTGCAAACCCCATCTAAGCGCAACTTGGGCTGTCGTTTTACCTAATTTCTCAGCAACAGCAGCTAAAACCGGGTTCGTGAGGACTTCATTTTTCGGTCGTGTTGTGCCAGGAGAGCCCAATGGCGAATAACCCTATAAAACTCAAAACACCAAGTTAACACTGACTATACACTTTTTTTTAGAGTTTTTAAAGATTTTTGTCGACTCACAGATAGGTGAACACCCTTAGAATTGCAAAACTCGTGGAGTTTTGCCTGCTGCCATGAAGGATGACATTCGACCTGGTTGACAGCCGGAGGAACACGGGCCGTATCCAACAAATCACTCAGTTTTTTCACCGAAAAATTGCTAACTCCTATAGCTTTTGCTTTGCCAGAATCGTAGAGTGCTTCCATGGCCTTCCATGTGCTGGGAATATCGGTGGGAATAAGGTTCTCGGGCTTAAAGCCAACAGAACCTTTTTTCATCCGTGCAGGCCAATGGATCTGCAGAATCAGAATCAGAATCATTAAGGATATATTTGGTAAACTTAGCTGATAATAAGCCAACTTATAACTTTTAAGTGAATTTCGAGCTTATAGCTGAAAGCAACTAATGGCTGAAAAACTAGGTTATATGATAAAAGTGTTTGGTAAAAATTAGCTGATACAAAAAAATCAATAGGCTTATTTGAAAAGCTGATGAGATAAGCTCGTACTACCAAACCAAGCTTACTTGAATACACAGGAAGCTTATAAGCTAACCAAATAAGCTATAAGCTAGCTTATATGCTTACCAAACACACCCGAAGTTGTAAAATTAAAATATCACAAAGGAGAAAACACAAGGCCGATGCACTTCCTACTCGTAACTTATTATGTTGTTCAAAGCAAAGAAGCTAATTAAAGAAAACCTTACGACAGCATAAAAAAAAACTCCTAATTTCGTATTAACGGCTTTGAAGCTTTTGTTTCAAATGTTCATTTTTATACTATTGGCGTTTTATTCAAAGAGTAAATTGATTCATTTGTTTGCTCCACACCTTATACTATGTATCTATTATCAACATCCAAAAGGACAAAACTCACGCAAAACCATCTTAATAAAGATACAAGAAACAGAACATACAAGGTACAGATCAACATATTCAAGTTGCAACTCTTCCAGTGTTTTGTCCAATGCCACAGGTACATCTTCAGGTGCATGATCTGTACACCTGCACGAGCGAGGAAGAAACTCAAGTAATATTTTACACGTGCACAAATATATGATTTGGTTGGGAGGAAAGTTGGAGGCAACAATTGGCTCGATGAACCACATAGTTAAACTTAAAAGAAACTTCGGATAACTGCAATTGCAACTCGAGGAAGTTAACACAAACCAGAATGGATTTTTCAAAAATCCAAGTACAAAGTATTATTTTATATCATTATTATAATCATATCACATTTTCCTGCTCAATCTTCGTAAAACAATTGCAAGATTCAACACTAATAATCAGTGTAGTCTTTTATTCCAACAAATCTTTACGAATCCAGTATGATTACCAAAGTTTGGAGGTAATAAACAAATCCTCTCTCTTCACAACTCCATCATCAAACAACTTCTTCAGAACTAAGCCAATCTGCAAATGAATAAACACTATAACAGATAAATTTCATACAGTTACTCTCTCAGCATATAATTATTAGCCATTAACCTGTGCTTGTTTCTTGCTAAAAACAAAAAAAACAAAAAAACCTGTGCTTGTTTCTTACAGTGTGAAGCTTACTGCCCTCAAACTGAAATACCAATTTTTTTTTTTTCAAAAATTAAGAAAAGGAGTAAGCTCGTGAACAGATATACCTCCTTTTCATTGCCATACGCTCGAGCACAGTCAATATGACGGTATCCAATCTGCAACGAGACAAAGTACAAGAAATTAATCAGTTTCATATAATATGACTAATAAATCGAGCACAGTCCATATGACGAAGCTTAAACTAGCCGCATTATGTTAAAAGTTCAGAAAATTATGTAAAAACCCCCAATTTTTCAAGCCTAACGAGCCCTAATCGAGCATGATGAATCTCAGCTCGGCTCATGAGCAGCTCTTTTCGCGTATAATAACTCTCTGCACGACACCCATCAAACCAATTGAAAAAAAATAGCTCAAAAATGGCAACATTTCGAACCACCCACAAACAAATCGATAGAATCTCTAAATGAAAGATAAAATCAGCACTAAGATGGTAAAATTTAGGATCACCCACAAAACAAACAAATCGAATGAGACTCCAAAATGAAGCTAAAATTGTTGAGAAATATGAACAGACACCTATACACGGACCTTGATTGCTGCTTCAACAGCTTGACCAACGAGGCCAGGCTCCGCCTGCCACGTACCAAGCCCGACTGAGGGAATCGTCGCGCCGGTGTTCAACTCGAAGTGTAATATCTCATTCGTCATTTTCCGGCGGCTTTCTACAGAGGGAACGAATCAAAAATTTCGACTGAATATGAACAACTTTCTTGTTCAGTGTTTTGGTCTATAGATCAGACCTCAAAAGCTGGGCCACTAATGGGGATGGACCATTTTTAAATGGATGGGCCACTAAGAGCATCTCCAATGGATTGTGCATTGCTCCATTTCATTGCCACGTAGCACCAATAATCCAATGTGGCATTTAAAATTTCTAGAAGTCTTTCTAGATCTAGAAAGACTTCTAGATATCTTCTATGCTATATTATACTATTTATTTTATATTTATCTCTCCATCAATCAATTATTATATTACACGTGTCAATTTATTCTACAATTGACATTAACCACTGGAGAGAAAATATTTTTATTTCCTTTCTCCACAACATACATATCAAAATAGACATGATGCCATTGGAGATGCTCTAATGGGTATGGACGAAAGTGGCCGAAACAGTTTTCAGAATAAGACACGTTTGAAGAGATCATTCAACAACCAGACCATCAGAGCCTTAGAGGTCTTGATCTCCTGGAGGCTCGATATAATTGACCTAAGGCTTAAAATGACCAGGTCCCCACCACACTGAATGATGAACTTTGGGCCTCCAGGCTTTTTTTTTTTCACTTGTATGATTTGTTTATATTGTAGTAATTATTTATAATTAAAATGAGACTTCGTAGGTAACTTGTAAAAATTGTTCATCTTATACTATAATGGTTTTTAATTCATAATTTTTTCGATTCGTTAACTAAATAAATTTTAAATGAAAATGAAATCGACTCAAAGCCTTAACAAACCGAGTTGTAAATGAGTTCACTAGCATTTATTTCATTTAACATAAAAAAAAAGCACCATTGACGTGGAAAATTAAGAAGGAAAAAAGCAAGAAACAATAAATAGAAAAAAAATACTAAAGTGATGACAAATACTAATAATTAAATATACATTGATAATAAAGACAGACATGTCAAAATGGACTGACGTACCCCACCAAACCCCATCATTTATGAAAGGCTAGCCCGGCCCAACCACGCCATGGGCCGACCTATTATGCTAGTTGATTGTTGGCTGCCAAATATTTAAAGTCAATTGTAATTCAATAGTAATAAATGAATATGTAGTTTCGATTAAGGTTTATTTTAATAATTATATTTATGAAAGCATCTAAGAAAAATACAACTATATGTAATATCATATACATGATTCAAACAAGTAAAGGCATTTCTAGAAACAAATGTTAGATAACTTACCACCAATTTTCAATAATATATTTGAGTAATAAAAATACCTAAATATATATATATAATCATTTAGACTATTGTTAAACACAACTAATTAATGATTAGAAAAACCTATTTTTTCAACAAATATTTATACTTTTAAATTAAACTGACATACATTGAAAAACAACACAAATAACACAAATAGAAGTACGATAATATTTCATAACATTGTTAGAAAAATTTTGACGGATCGACTCGTCTAACAATTATGTTGAAATAACATGTGAATATGTGATACATATAATTTAAACTGGTGAATTTTACCATATATAAAAAAAAGAAAAAAAAAGTTGCATAATTGCAGTTGACATACTTATTGCTAAAGTCAAGCTATGACAAGTAAAAAGGTCGTTTTATCTACAATTTAAATAGTTCAAAATCAAGTAATTTCACATTTAAACTTACTAGAAACTTATCGGCTGTGCGTAGCACAGCCGGCCCATACGGTTTAAATTTTTTTGATATTTTGAGATTAAAATAGTGATTTATTTTGCATAAATGTTGGTATTTGTGATAGGTGTAAATGGTTAATATTTTTTTAGGGTATTAAATGGAGTTATTGTCAATGTAACTTATTGTAGTTAGTAGTAGGTAAGAATTTTGGTAGGTCATTAAATATTATTAATAAAAAAGGAAAAAAATCAAATAATAAATGTGAACTCATATGTTTATAATATCTCTCTCTCAATTTGAAGAACTCATGTGTGGGGCGTGTCTTTGGCAACGAAAAAATAGTGTAAAGGATTTATTGTTCTTCTCCTCTTTGCGAAGGTGGTTGCTATCCGAAGGTTTTTTGTTTTTTTTTTCTATCTCTTTGTTTCAGCACAATTGGTGAAGATTTGTTCATGGATGTGTAGTTTTATATTTGTTCATATAGGTGTCGATTTTATTTTTTTCGGGTGTGTTGGAAATTCGTATATTCTGCTTCATTATTGTGAATATTGTTGCGGCAAATTAGTTATAAATTTGGGGGTTAATTGATTTTTAGGTTATATTAATTTACAGTTAAAAAAATATGTTAATTGAATTTTAAGGCCATTGAATTTTATTCTCGAATGCCAAAGAGTTTTGGTAGGTTATTAAAATATTGTAAGAATTTTTTTTATATACTTTTTTTGTGTTGTAGGTTTGAAGATAATATTATCTTTTATGGCCATTTTGTTTGTTTTTTTTTCTTCATGTAAAGCTAATGTATTTATGTATTAATTGTACAGGCTATTCATCATGCCTGTTCATTTTAATAGTTTTTTTATTGCTATTTCCAATCCGGACGAACAAAAAATGGTAATGTATTGTAAAATTTATTAACAAGATTAACTTTAGGTGAAATTAATATTTAGGTCAATATTTGTACTTAATGAATTAATTTTTTTTTTATTGTATTGTAGAGACTTCCATCTGGTATTGTCGAAGAGTACATGACTGTTGTACCTCTTGAGTGTAAGTTTAGTATGAGATATGGTCGAACATATTGGGTGAGAATGGAAGGGAATGCTGAGGGGGTATTCTTTGATAATGGATGGTTCCAGTTTATGGCATTCGAGAATATTAAGAGTGGATATTATCTTTGGTTTGATCGTAATAGTCTTACAGATTTTATGGTGAGTGTGGTTGAGGAAAATGCAGTCGAGCGGCCTTTGCGATATCGTTTTACTTTGGAGATGAAGAAATCGTACATCGAACGTGCATCTTTTGAGTGAAATTTATCACCTTAGAATATGTTTTAAATGCAGCACATTCCGATGGAATTCTGGCGTTCATATGTGGTTAATGAATTCGAGAACTTAAGTGAATGCTTGTTGATACTCGAAGATGTCCCGTATGAAGTTCAAATTGTTGCTCGGCATGGCAAAGTGTTGATGCAGAAGATGGAGGGTAGAGAATTTGTTGATTTTACTGGAATTTTTGGAGGTTCAACATGTTCATTCATCACTTGTCCTAATTCTTGTGTTTGTTTTGAAATGTTTGTTTTGAGATTTGTAATTTTTAGCATTATGTACCCAACTGTTTTTGAAAGAAATATTATTTGGTTGTTTACATTTGTGTAAAAGTGTTATATCATTGTTTTGGTGTGCAGAATTTTTATTTGCTTATGGTACATAATGATTAATATGAGAAGAATGACATTAGATAAAAGCATAGCGCTGAATATTATACAAAATTATATTCGAAACATTAGACCATAAAAGATGTAAATAAGAAAAAATAGGTGTAAATGAATTGGCAACCATTTCTTATGGGCTGGGTAATGAACAGGCTATAAATTGCATTGCAAATGTATGAAGACCTTATACTAAGCCATCATCATTACATTAACTTTTAGGAGTACAAAATAGTACATTGCAAATGTCTGAAGACCTTATAGTAAGCCATTATCATTACATTAATTTTCAGCACAAAATAGTACAGTCAAGTTTCTCATGCAATGGTTATCCTTAATTACAGTAGCCAATATGTCATAATATAATCATTAATATTTACTAAGTTTGTACCGGAATCCAAACTTAGGGAATATTAATAGGGAAGTTGATAGTTATTTCTAAACAAAATATGTACACAAAAGGTTGGGTGTCGACAAAACGGATGATGCATGAGAGCTTAAGCTGTTATCGGTCTTCCAAAACGTAGCGTCTACACAAAAGAGAGGGTATTTTAGAGGGCTGGGCTATGGATTTTTTTTCTGGCGTTTAGTCGAACCTCCACTGACTGGTCCTTCTGGATGATCTGCTTCTACTTGGTCTGCATCAGTTGGTTCATTTGTTTCGAGATCAAAGTTGATGGATCTTTTTGCTCCTTGTTTGTTTTGTTTCTCAAGGGTAATTGGTGATGGTGTATTAAGTATTGAGGCAAGAACTTTGTGTGCAGTTGGTGTGAGCTGCTCCTCAACGGCAACCTATTGTGCATAAATACATATTGAGCAATAATGAATGTATTGTTGTTGGAAAGTATATGTGTTGATTAATGAAAGAAAAAGAATAAATAGAATGATGCTTAAAACATATATATATATATATATATTAAAAAACTTAACGAGTATATGGTGAAGTGTTTTTTGAACCTGTTTGCCGAGTCTCTGTGAGTGAACAGATGTGTTTGTTTCATCTAAAGGCAACATATCTTCAATATTATCCTCGTTCACATAGACAACCACAACAGCAAAATTCGATTCATTTTTGTCTTGATATTCAGAAATGTAGTGTCTCACATAACAGGTGATCTGCTTTTTCTGAAAATTTGCTTCTACCTCCATGGCATTTTCTAGCTACAATGAAAAATTAACAAGCATATATTACACCAAAAAATGATTTTTATTAATTTAATATAAACTCTAATATATAGTTATTGTTTTTTTTATTTTTCGTACCATACTAACTACAATAGGGAGACANCCATACTAACTATAATAGGGAGGCATTGAAAAAAATAATGGGAAAAAAATATATTCACAAACTTTTTGTTACCTGGTTTTTGTTAAGGCTCATTTGGGCTGCGGTCATTGGAAGTAGTTGTTCAGCTTCTGGACCACTGATAACAGCTTGTATGAGACCAGTGTTGTCTTCAATGCCCAATGTAAATCTAGACCTGCAACCAGTGTTTTTATGACATTGTAAACGATATTTATAAACAAAATGTTGTCAGTATTGTGCGAAATTTATTATTTTCATACCTAGGTTCTACTGGTCCTACTGCCTTGCAGTGAGGACATGTGACTATCCATCCGATTTGAGCGCGCAAACCTTTTTTGCAATTGTGGCAAGCTGTGAACCAGTAAGATGTTTGTCCATATGCAAGAACAGCCTTTCCTCGAATCCATGCCGTCTTCAGCTAAATATATTAGATATGATTATTGTTTTTTGAATGTACAATAGGGCATTTCTTACAAAAGCAATTACTTGTACAGAAGATTTAAATTCTTACAGTCTGCAAATTTTTTAAAGCTGAGTGGACAGAGATAATTTGTGATTCGTTTGGTGGTGGTAAGAGAAACTCAGGGTTTTCATACACTTTGAGTTCCAGCTGATGGTTCACTTCTTCTTTGTGGTCAATGTACCTATATATTTAAATGTAATTGACTGTAACAGAAATTAAATGATAAAATATGTAAGAAATATAATAGACTCATTTGTTACCATTGCTTGAGAATGACACTTTCTGCCATGGGAGGATTTATCATTATTGTGCTCAAGTGAGTTGTTGTTAGTGATAGCACTGGCAATGGAAAACATTTAAATAATGTGTATATTTATAGACAGTGATGTTTAGATTTGGAATAGCATGGGTAGAGCGACTAAGCACTTACAGTTGAAAGTTGTTACCCTGACCCTTGTTGCAACAATAATGTTGCCAGTAGCCAATGTGCTTGCTAATTGTTGACCTTCTTCTTTTGCAAATTCGCCCCACAATGTAAAAATCATGGGCCTGTTTCTGTTGAAAGTAATTGGACAGAAATAAATTAAATGCACTTTTATATTTGATATTTCACGATATAAAGTGTGTAGGATGCATTAATTATACTCTGCATTGACGATGACAAGATTTTTTGTGTTTGAAGTTGAAGAAGCATCTTTTTGCGGCAACACATGAACAACAACACCCATGACATCTGTGGAAAGGAACAAAAAGATGAAATGTTATCGTAAATAATTTTTGTCATTCATTATTGTTAAGTGGGTAGTAATGTACGGAGAAAATAGAAATGAAAATAGAAATCATTTGTGATATTCTTTTTTTCGTTTTCTATTTTTTTTTTTTAACAAAAAGTTAAGGCTTACTTTGTAAAGTTTCTGTCTCTGCAAACATGCTCAGTTTGCTGTACTCCTGGAGGTGTATTTCGCACGGGAGCTGTGGAGGTAATTTTTCAGGATATTCTTCAACCAATGTGCCTTTTTGTATTGTCCAAGTGAAACCATAGTCACTGATTTGATATAAAGGATTTGCTTGCTGCACAGTTGCCCCAGAAACATAGTATCTTTTATACTGTATGATGCGTTCATCCCAGAACTGAATTTGAGCGGATCCATAGACAGTTGCAGATACAATTGTTCCCTAGATTAATTATAAAACTTTTTTTAGTACATGGGAATGTAAACATAATTATTATATAATATGTATAGAAGTATATATGCATTTCAGAACAAGTTAGCAACAATTGTTTTGTAAAAAAAGGGCATAATAATATAACAATCAAACCTGGGAATCTGTGAAAACATATTTTCGGTAAGGCACTCTTTTTCCATAACGACCAATCTGAACGTGACCTTTTTCAACAACTTGGATAATCACTGTCCATCCTTCAGTGTCAACATTAACATCCTTAATTTGAAGATACTTTCGAGACATCCTGTGTTGATATAGCAGTGCATGGAAAATGAAGGGAAAAAACAGAGGAACAAGAGAAGGGGAAGAAAAAAAAAAGTAAGATAAAACAACAAAATAAATAATGAATAGTTAGATATTATCCAAACAATATTATATACATGCAAAAAACTGTAAAGTAATGCATACATATAACAGATAGTTAAGTTTAACAATAGGAAAACATATATAGAAGCTATTGTCTTGCTGCATCTAAAATTTCTTGGTAAACAATATTTTTCGTGTGCCGAACCTTTTTCTTGTCAAAATAAGGTGGTTTAATAAGAACTGTAACATTAGATGACAATCTTGCTCGTGATAGAGCAACATATAATTGACCATGAGAGAAAACTGGTTCTTTCAAATAAATACCGACTGAATCTAAAGTTTGCCCTTGCGCTTTGTTGATCGTCATTGCAAACGACAATCGTACAGGAAATTGTGTTCTAACATAAGGCACTGGATATTGTTGATCACTTGGTGGCTCTAATGGTATTCTATGTATAAAAACTTCTTTGCCAGCAAAGTCACCTACAATTATCTCTGCATGTATAATGTTTTTTGTTAAATTTTTACACCTTAACCTTGTACCATTGCATAAGCCTTCAGTTGGATCTAAATTACGGAGCAATATTATCGGACAATTCTTTTTCAAAACTAACTTATGAGGTGGCATACCACTTGGTGTTAATGAATTAATAATATCTTCATATTGACCTCTATGTGTAGGATTTCGAGTCTCATCAAAACTGAAATATTCCATTGCTTCACCTGGAAATCTATCTATGAGTATATTATTCACTTCATCAACAAAATTATTTCTTGTACTTAATATAGCACGATTAATTGAAAGTGCGTCATTATTTAATTGGCATAAATCTGGGTAAACAACATTAATAAGTTTATCAATATCATCAACATCATTCATGGACAATGTGTTAATAAATGCAGGTATTCGAATCAAATTATTTGAATCTGTTGGTTCCACTCCATTACCAACCTTTAATAGATAGTTTGAAAACACAGGATCTAATTTAGCACGCATGTTTTCTGTTAGTTCTATTTTTTGTAGATGTGGCCACAGTGGTGAATTAACTAAACAAGCATCAATTGTTTCAGTTCTGCTTCCTCTACGAACAACTGGCAGCACCTGTCTAAAATCGCCTCCAAACACTATGACTTTTCCTCCAAATATTTCATTTGAGTCTAAAATGTCTTTAAGTAATTTGTCTAATGATTCGATTGCTGATCTTTTAGCCATTGGTGCTTCATCCCATATAATTATTTTACACTCTCTTAATAATATCGCAAGACTGCTCTGTTTACTGATTTTACAAGTTTCTCCTTTTGATAAATCTAAAGGTATCTTAAATCTTGAATGCGCTGTTCTGCCACCTGATAAGATAGAAGCAGCAATACCCGAAGTAGCTGTTGCTAAACCTATATATCCTTTTGATCTAATATCTGCTAATAAAGCTCTATAAAGAAACGATTTACCTGTTCCTCCAGGACCATCTATAAAAAATGCGCCTGCTTCATTATTATAAACACGAGTGCAAATTAAACGAAAGGCATACTTTTGTCTATCATTCAATAATTGAATTGCATTTAAATCTTCCACTGAGACAGTTATATTTTTTTCTGCTGTTAATTCTCTTGTTAAATGTGTAGAATCCAGGTGTGGGATATTATCAGGCAGAAGGTTAAAAGAATTAATTGACTTACCCATGGACTCTAAAAAGCAAGCAATCTGAGCTAGAACTTGAGTTCTTATTTGGGTGGGCGATAGTGATGGGTCTCGACTAAAATCTTCAGACATATGCGATTCAAACTTTAACCATAAATCTCTAAGATTATTTGGACATGAATAAACTAAAATATTAGCAAAAAGTCTCCGAAGTTCATAAGGCATTTTAAATTGAACAGCTTCTTGTAAACACAGATATTGACTATCATCATCTTTCAACAGACCTCTATTCAATGCAGCCTCACGGAATGTTTTAGCCATAACACCATTATATAATTTTAAATCTCCAAAGGATTTTGGACAACGCACTTTTAATAAAAGCAATCTAAGGTAATAACGTTCGCCTTCAGAAGGATGCGCAGAGACTATTCTGCCTACTGATTCTTGTCTCTCTCGTTTTTTCCATCTCTTTTCATTGGTAATCCAGACGAAATATTTAGGAAATTCAGCATAAGTTAAATTTAATTCCTTAGCATATTTATTCGTTCTGTTCATATAAAAAAATTGTGTTAACATTGTTCTATCATTCATAGGATTCTTAATAATATTTCTTAATTTATCCTTTCTTTTAAAATGAATCCTTTGATAGTTAGGTAGATGGCATTGAAGATGAATAACTGCAGGTTTAATATCTCCCATTGAAAATCTAAATATTCTCCAAGCCGCTTCAGGAGGAGAAACCCATCTAGCAGATGTATATTGTCTAATTTCATCAATACTCTCATTTGGACTATCAGAAGCAAGGTGAAAATTTATTCTATCATGACCTTTGCATATATATTTATAAATATACTTCACTGCATGTATAGTGGAACAAATTTCGACATTTATATGACAATTGTATTTCGCAAGCAAATATGGATTGTAAGGGACAACCCACCTATTATCCAATTCTTCACCTCTGACTTTTAGTTTCATGTTGTTTTCTCTTCTACGATATTGAGGAAAAGCACCTGAAACTTGTCTTGTTTCTTCACAGAATGTTTTAGGGTATGCGAACCGACATTTTCCTTTTTTTGTCATGCATGAATTACTTAAATTTAGCTCACCACAAGGTCCATGTATCATATGTTTCTTGACCATAGCATACAAATGAGGATGAGTAAGTTTATTTGGTATTTCAGCAGACACAATTTTATCGAATTCTTCACTTCTAAAGAGTTTAAACTGTGGATGCAAAATAATGAGAAAATGTGCATGTGGTAACCCTCTTTTTTGAAATTCAATAACATAAGTGTATGCAGCGACCTCACCAAAAATATTTTTTTTAAATAAATCATCTTTTAACTTTGTTAACATAGCATTAAATACTCTTGCAACTAAATCTGGCCTGTTTTGTATTTCTTCAGATCGCAATAAAAGATTTTTTATTTCAGGCCAGTTGGGATTACAAGTTATAGTTAAAAAAATGTCTGGCTTACCAAATTTTTGAACTAAAGTCATTGCATCAATATAACGTCTTTTCATATTTCTTGGACCTCCAATAAAGCTTGCTGGCAAGAAAACTCTTTGTCCTATTTTAGAACCTTCAGTTTCTCCTGAATTTAATGCATCTTGAATTCCCTGTAAATATTCATTTCTAATCTCTTGTTGTTGAAGTCTCAAAAAATCTAGACGCTGTGATTCTAATTTAACGTACATATCAACTATATATTGTTGTAAGAGTCTACCAGACCTTAATAAAAATGATTTATCACGTTCTCTAATCTGTAGTTTGTACGAATAATATGCCCTAAGAGACACAAAGCTCAAATCATCTGGTGATATAGATTGAGCTGGAGAGCAAGAAAAAAGACAGAAAATTAGAATTTATAAAATTACTGATTACTAATCAAAATACATACAAAATAAATTAAATCGACAATATTGGACATATGGTACTAACCAGCAAACTCTGTGCTTAATATTTCATTTAAGTCCATTGCTAAATGAGGAGCAACGTCTATAACGGAAGTCTTTGTGTTATTACCCTGCAAACTACTTTTTCTCTTTATACCTTGGTGCCAACCAACTTCTCCCAATGGAAAAAGTAGAGGATATTGTAAAGGGTCATAGCAACCATAATAATAACTTATATTGTGAGAATGTCCTCCATGTGAATGCACAATTATGTTTCGTTCACTTGTTTCACCATTATCTTCATTCTCAACCCATAATGCAGCTACTTGTGAAACTTCTGGTTGATTAAAAACTCTTTGATCAACATTAGGTAGTGTTTTTAATATAATGTGACATGAGTCTAAATTAGGTACATCCTTAAGCCTCCTCAAAAATTTTACATATGGATTATGTTGGAGAACTGTAAGGATTTTTTCAATTAACGATTCTGTTAATCTAGGGCATGCTTCTAGCCTTTTAGCAACTTCAGTATCGGTGTCATGAAAATACAACTGAAGGTTTTTAGATTCAAAGAAATTATCTATGAAATGGTATATTTGACCCTGCACTCTGAAGGTATAAATCCCATTATTACGCTTACTGAGAGCCTTATCATAGTGCACTCCCATAGAAGTGAAAGCAAAATGATTATTGATTGTTCGAATGCAAGTTCTGAATAAGTTTGCTTCTAATGACAAAGACGTGTAAAGTTCTTGAAATATAAGAGGAGCATCATTAGTAGCTAAACACACATCTCCATTTAAACAACATAAGTTATATGTTTCATATTCAAATTTCTTTGCAAGACAGTGTGGACAGTTTGGCACATTCCGTAAGACTGCAGGCGCTAAAGGAATAGATGTAAGTCTGTTTCTACCATCTCTTAAATGCGTTTTTTTACTTCTCTTACAATTAAGCTGCTCTATCCGTATGTCATTTAATGTTTCATTAACCCTTTTTCTAAGATTGGATGCATTACTGGACCCTGCCTCAGAATCATAAAGACCAGTTCTTTGCACCACATCAATAGGTTCAATTGTATAATGGTGTCTAACCACATCAGTATCACTATGAAATGTAACAGAAGGCTGAACAGATTCAGATGTATCTTTCCTTGGTTTACATTTTTCAATGGATTCTTGTCTACGTTGTTCACCAGATGCATCTAAAGTTAAAGCACTAATGTGAGGCGACACAACATTGCTTTGAATGTCCATATAAGTTGTATAATTCACTGTCAAATTTGTTTTCATTTTTTTTAATCTCCACCTTCTTATAGCCTCTTGCCTATATTGTTTTTTAGCAAGGACATCCCCACCCATTGGCAGGACAATGTCAACATATTTTCTTTTTTTCCTCATCACCAAATGAAAAGCAAATGAAGTAAATATATATACACGAACAGTTTAAAATAAACAAAAACTTTTATGCGATATTAAATAAGTACGAAGGTCTTTAGAAAAACCTGATGCTTAAATATAGAAATCAGCAGGTGAAATAGAGAAATTGTTTGTTGTAGAATAGTTGAATACACCTGCAGAAAAGCAACCGAAAACACAATTCAACAAAGCAAGAACAGTAACGGATGTTAATATATTTAAAACAAGTATATGTGAAAAATAAAACCCAAAAGTTTACACAGAAATAACAACAGCTGGAAAGAAAAAGAAGTATTATCTGTACAAATAGGTAAGACACATAAAATTGTTACCCATGAGAAAGAAAAGGAACATGAGCTCTGATAGAAAAACAAGGATATGAGATTTGATTACAAAGAAAAGGAACATGCAGTAAAAACCAAAGTAGAGGTCTTCCACAAGTGACATGAAGGACATAAAAATGATCAAATGCGATCAGAAACATGAAAAAAGTCACTGCACAGAAAGGCCAACATTTATACTTAAAGAGACTGTAAACACAAATAAAATGAAAATACATAGATTAAACCTAAAAGAAAAAGGAAAAAGAAAGAAAATAAAAAGTAAATGAAGTTCAATACCTCCAACCATGCATATGAGGAAAAAAAAAACGAACGTTGTACACACCAAACAGAAGGAAAAATACATTAAATAAAAATACATACTGAACAATAAGAGCAGGACAATAAATGAACACAAGGAAGTTGAAAAAAAAAAATAACTTATGAGTGAAACATCCAAAACAAATGTCAGAATATGAAACACAACATAGAACACATTGAATGCGCAGCAACCTTAAACCACACAAACACCACATTGAATAAAGAGAAAGAACATAAACAAAAGCACAACTGAAGAATGAAATATAAAAAACAGCAGCCTAAATACAAAGGAAAGGACAAAATAAATGCAGAGAACAATTGAAGAAGAAAAACTTACAGAGTTGCAGCAAATGAGTAAAAGCCAAAGAAATGTAGAATCTGCTATAAATAGAAACACACATAGTAGATGAGAGAAGAAGTGAGTAAAATAATAAGCCAAAAAAATGGTACACGTGAAGCAAGCAACTAAAGTAAAAAATAATGATAACAAAAACCTGCTACCTACATTATGAAGTAAAATAAGAGTATAAGAAGAACCAATTAAAAAAAAACACATGGCAATGCTAGTAGTCATCTATTACAGCCTCCCTAAAGTAAAGTAATTATTGCACATAATACGTATTTAACAACCATCAATTTTACATGAAACCATAGAGGAAAGAAGTAATTTAAAAAAAATAAAATTATTCTGCAGGACAAATTTTAAATAAAAAACACAAAGAGAAAGAACATAGAAGAAACATGTAGGCATGATTGACAATTTAGTAGGGTACTTGATAGCAAACAGTAGATGAAAATCCTAGAACTTGAATTCACATAAGTATAAAATGAATGAATAAAAATCATAAATTGGTAAAAAAACATCAACCTATTGCCCAACATTTAGCATAAGATGGGCTAAGAATACAGATTTATTCAATATCTGCATCTAGAAAAAAGCCAATAAAAAAAACAACAACATAATTTTAAGGTAAAAAATCAGTAACATAATGAATGAATATAATACAACGACATAAGAACTTAGCTGAATTGTAAGGTTGATCCGACGCAAGGCAACGACGGCGCCATAAAAAAAATTGAAAACACATTTGGATGTAGAAGTCTAAAAATCTGAAAACACCACACACTAATTAACGGAACAACGGCCGTGAACGAAAAAAAAAATTTCAACTGCAAAAGATAATAAGGAAAAAAATAAAAAAAAAAAGGAAATGGAAAGACATAAGAGCAAAGAGAAAACGATGGGATGAAAAATACAGTAGATAGAAAGGGAGAGGGAAAGGCAAGGAAAGAGGAAAAAAGAAACGAAAAAAAAAAATTAATAGTAGCCTCAAAATATCCCCAACTTCAATCATAAAATGACAAGCATACCCCCAATATCTAAAAGTAATAAAAAAAACTTAAGAAATAGAAAAGTAAAAACAAAAACAGCAAAAACAAAATAGATGAAAGGAAACCTAAAAGAAGGCACCACAATGTGCCATATGTCACATTTTAAAGCAAGTCTCGTATTTTCTTATAAGTTAAGAAGGTAGATTTTTCTAAGTTTATGTATAATACATAGCGGGTTGGGCTGTTATTTCAAAGGCCCGCCAAAGAGTGGGCTTAAACAGGCTGGCCCGTGCGGGCAATGGGTTTTGGCTGGGCAGGCCACGGGCCAGCCTATCAATTAAAAAACGATTTAAATTTTAATTTGTAAAAACCCAACGTCAAAATTTCTCTAAACTCGAAATCGCATTGTTAACTCAGAAGTACAGAGAACCGCGAATGCAAAAGACCCATCTTCAAGTGACAACCCTAGCGGTGGCAACAGGCGCTAGCACGCGAGACGACGACGACAGAAAGAGAGGGAGACCTGGAGAGCGGCAAGGCAGCGGCACAGAGAGAGACTCGGCGAGCGGCGAGGCGGCTTCATTCCGGCCATACATTCCGGTAATTCTTAATTGATTTCCTTGTGATTTTGTTTTTTAAAAAAAAAAAATAGATTTTTTCATTCTTGTTATATAACGGTGAATCTTTTATCTTCATCTATGAATTATCTTGAAATTCTTCCTGAAGAGACCTCAGTTCTGGGAATATCATGATGTATTTTGGGTGCGTTGATTATTCACTCAATTTTTTTTAGTGCTATTATGGACATTTGAATCCGTGCTGTTTGTTCCAATGTTAATACTTTACTCATTTTTTTTCCCAATTTAATGGTTGGACTTGTTGATGCTTGATGGATGTGTATGTTACAATTTTATTTTTTTTTATGCTCCCAGCCCCAGCCCCAGTTTTTAAATTTTTTGATAATTTTTTTTAATATTAGGTGGGCCAGCCCGCCTAGCCCGCAGCCCATGACGGGTTGGGTTGGACTGCCCTTTTACAGGCCCGCCTTGGTTTTGGCGGGTTGCAGGGCAGCCTGCCTCGCTAGCCCGCTTTGACTATCTAATCATACCGTTGCTTGGTCGTAGGTAGAAGAGTTTGAGCTCGCAACCCATCCAGCATATTTATGAGATTTTCTTGCTTTATTTGCGCTGTTGTGTAAAGTCAAATCTGATGGCACGACACCCGTTCGTTTTTGTTCTGGTGGGGCTCTCGTGCTTTGCCGGATTTCTTGAAGGGAGCCCTGGCGATGCTGATCCGATGTACAAGTAAGCTTGTATTTTAGCTAGTTAGGGTATCTGTTGGGGATATTTGTTGTGGCAGTGGTTGAAGCTTTAATTGTTTCGCCAATTGAGCTTGAAGTAGAATACTGATTAAGTGGGATATGTTGAAAAGCGAAGGGTTAGGTAAAAGTGGGGTGTAAGTGCTGCTTTTTTTCTTCTCTAAACCTTTGTTGTATCTGGCTTGTTGTTTTCATGCGCAAGATGTCTCTTATGCCTGCTAACAGGTGTAGCCAATATGCTCTAGTTTATGGGGCTGCCGTTTCTGTAATATTTTTTGTGAATCCACGGTCGTTTACTTAAATCTTGGTTTTCGAGGTGACAAATTTGTTGAAGTAAGATGGCTGTTTGCGGATGCAGATTTAGGGAGTATGAACATAAGGTTATGGGTAGTGAAAACTTCAGCTGAACTTTTTGAACCTTATGTATATTTGTGATGGTCATTCTAAAAGTTTGACCTTTAGCTTTTTTAAAGAGTTACGATTCAATACAGGGAGATAAAATCTGCCATCCTATGCTAATTTCACCCTCATTAGCCTTACTGTAACAGTCGGACTTTTGGGATGTAAGGATCAGCCTAATTCTCACACACTACATTGACAGGCTAATTATGACATCTGCATTAGCATTCGTGTGATCCAAAACAGGGATCGCCATTATTGTCTTTCCATCTTTTGCATCTAACCCTTCTAATCATTAACCCCCCAATATGAATAACAGGGTTCTTAAAAATTTCTTTAGTAAGACAAACAAATGACACACGTTCTTATTTAGGTTGGTAGTTTATTTCAGCCGCATTATTATTTGATATACTGTTACAATACCATCTGGCCATCCTCTGTTTCTGATGATGTAGTCAGTTACTCAGCTAAACTTGGAAAGTGCTGTTGTGGTTCATTCTGACAGGCATCCTTTTTGTAGCTCGGGATGCCCTATTTGATTCTTAAAATTTTGAAAATAATCAGTGCTTTTACTATTGGCTAAGTGTTGAAACAAAATTTCACTATCCCTCTGTTTTGGCTTCTAAGAGCAGATGTATCTTCATTCGGCTCATTAAAACATGCCCTTAATTCTTTAAAAATTTTATGGCACTCCTAGGGCTTGTCTTCAAGAATGTGAGAAGACAGGATGTGTTGGCAACAAATGTTTTCAACACTGTAATTTTTCAGCTGATGGGACACCGGTTGATGGGCCATGGTATCTGCAGGAGCCGCTTTATGTACAGTGGAAACAATGGGACTGCCGTAGTGACTGTCGTTATCATTGTATGCTCTCTCGAGAAGAAGAAAGAGAGAAACTTGGCTACAAGCCTGTAAAGTACCATGGGAAATGGCCATTTAAGCGCATTTACGGGATCCAGGTAAAAAAAAAAGAGAAAAAAAAATGTGTTTTTTTTTTAGTTATCTCGATCATATCATGTAGGAACCCATCCAGGTATAAAATGAGAAAATAGGTGTTTGTTTGATTATATCGAATAATATCATGTTGGCAATTGTTCGTTTTATCGTTCGTGACTGTTGTAAATTATGACCAGGAACCAGTTTCAGTGGCTTTCTCGGCACTAAATCTTGCTGTACATTTTCATGGATGGGTATCTTTTTTCATCCTTGTAAACTACAAGCTTCCTCATAAGCAAAATAAGAATACATATTATGAGTACACTGGCCTGTGGCACATATATGCAGTCTTTGCGATGAATGCGTGGATCTGGAGTGCTGTTTTCCACAGTCGGTGCGTATCATGACTCTGGTTTTGCTTATATTTCTCTCCTATTTTTCTGCTTGTCTGAAATATCATTTGAGTCTTTGAGAAGTTGTTTGAATCATTCCAACCATTTTATTCTTTAATGCAAGGGTACATAATATAATAAATAGCTTCTGATGTGCTCATCAATTTCTTCCATTTTTTTTCCCAGTCGGTGTCAAGTGCATCTTTCTAGTTGTTTAGTTTCAGTCTGAATTTCAAGGTTTGAAATCATATGCAGAGATGTTGATTTGACTGAGAGACTGGATTACTCATCTGCGGTGGCGTTACTGGGATATTCCCTCATTCTTGCTGTAATACGAGCTTTCAATGTGAGACTTGAGGCTGCAAGGGTCATGATTGCTGCTCCATTACTTGCTTTTACGGCAACCCATATTTTGTATTTGAATTTCTATCAACTTGATTATGGTAAGCCTTCTGCATATTACCTTTTGCTTGCATTGAGTTGTTGGTAAGAGAATAGTAGTGTGGCCATTTGTAGTCAAGTGTGGTCACTTAAAAGTATCATTTTTTTTTACTGTTGAGAAATAAATCAGAACCCAGTAAGAAGAAGCAAACATGAAAATGTATTATTACATTTGTATTCCGGAGGGTTAACTAAAAATGTTACCCTTAAGGTTTCATTTAATTCCAAAAATCTCAGTTATTTTCCAAAAGTCACAAATACTTCTTGATCTTTTCCTCAACAGTTTCAATACTGATAGAGGAATATATGTCTAATAAAGACAGATATTTAACACTTTAATGGTGTATTTTTAAGTTTGAAATATACAATATGCTTATCACATTTAAAAAACAAATACTACACTTCTTCCAGTTTTATATTCTAGATTTTTTGTGAAAACAAAATTATATATTAATTCTGCAGGATGGAACATGATAGTATGCGTGACAATCGGCATATTCCAGATTGCTCTTTGGGCAATTTGGGCCGGTTTTACTCATCACCCGTCCCTTTGGAAGTTGTGGGTGGTCGTGATTGGAGGGGCCTTTGCCATGCTCTTGGAGATATATGATTTCCCGCCATATTGGGGGCTTGTAGATGCTCATGCTCTTTGGCACGCTACCACAATCCCTCTTACCTACTTGTGGTGGACTTTTGTTCGGGACGATAGTGAGTTTCGGACCAACATCCTCATCAAGAAGCAAAAGTAGCCTATGTTTAGTGTGCAATTGTATCGACTTTTAGTTTTATGGTTCAGGCCTGTGCATTTGTTTAATCTATCTAGAATTTTGACCTCTCTCTTTCTCTCTATCTTTGTTTTTCTCTTTTAATTCATTGTGGGGGTTTTCTTTTTTCCTTTTTCCTTTTTTTTTTCCTTGGGATAATTTACTGTTGTGGGTTTCTGTACTTTTCTTGTCTGAATGGACTGGAGATTCATTTCCACTTGATACCTAACCTCAAAATGAGCACAGGGTGCAATCTTCAGGTCTTGGAAGCTTTGGTCTGTTTTAGATTTAATGCTGAAACAGTGAATTGGAAATTGTCTTAAGATTTTTCCACTTGACACCTAACCTCAAAACACTTGATTTTGACAATTCAAACGCAGAATTAGCATTATAGCATATTAAAATGACACAAGAGACAGAAATTAGCAAGAACTGAAATTGAAGGACCTATTTTGCAGATAATACCCAATAAGTCAACAACCAGCAAGCATTGTCCCAAACAAGAAAATTGAAGCTAACAACCAGCCAACTGCAGAAAAACGTCTTCCAACCACAATCCAGTCTCTTACAACTACTTATTCAACAACTTTATTCTCCAGATACTCGAAAACGATCCCAAATTNAAAAAAAAAAAAACAAAGATCCAACACTTCAAATTATTCAAGAACACCCCCAAAAAGCTCACATTTTTTCTTCACACATCTTTCCCCCTAATCACATTCGATGCCTTCTCGTTCTTCAAGATCTTATGGAAAAGCGCAGCCCGATCCTCCTCGACAATCTCCCTCAGAAGCTCGTCCTCGATTTTCGGCGCCTGCCAATGAGAAGGATCCTCCACATGCTCGTCACTGAAAATCATATCCGAGACCCACTCCTTCCACGTCGTCCTTATATGCTTCTCCTCCTCCAGAGTCCCGTTCGCCAGCAGCTGGTACACATAAACCACTTTATTCTGACCGGGCCGAAAGGCCCTCGCAATAGCCTGCTTGCTCTTAGACGGGTTCCACTCAGAGTCGAGCAGAATGACTCGCGAAGCAGCCGTAAGGCTAATCCCCTCAGCACACGCAGTTATCGAAGCCAGCATCACCTTAGAAAGCCCCGCTGGCTCCTCAAACTTATCCATAACTCGTCCGCGCTCGAAAAGCTCGATATCTCCTTGGAGAACAAGGACCTCACGACCCTTACTCCACCCATAAAACCTCTCGAATATCTGCAGAAACAGGTTTATAGGAGCTATGTTGTGACAAAATATTAAAACCTTCTCGTTTCGCACGAGGCACCTCGGGATGAGGTTCATCACGAACCGAACCTTCGACCCGCATTTCATGTCGAACTTGAACCTCTCGAGATCGTTCAGCTCGTCTGAACTGAAATAGTCAGCCGAGCAAGCGGTGGTCCGTATCAGCCACGGGTGAATAGCCCCAAGAGTGATCAGCAGCTCGATCTCCAACGGGAAGCCTTTGTAAACGGGCCTCTGGTTTTGAAGCTTCACCAAGATATCCATCTGGAGGCTCGTCGATTTCATCATCAACGTGTAGCACTGAAGTCCCGGGAGCTTGTTGTCGTCCGAGTTCCCGCCCTCGTACACGTCGATGAACTTGCTCGTGAGCTTCTTGAGAGTCTTCAAGGCCTGGGCCCGCTCGCCGGCCCCGTTCGAGTCGATCTTCTTGGAGATCTTGTCGATGAGAAGCTTCCGGCCCCTGTTCTCGAGCGAGAACTGAGTCTGCCGCTCCTTGTTACGCTTCTCGTATTTCGGGTCGAGCTCTCGGAGGACCTCGTTCACGAATATCGGCCTCGCGAGGCTGAGCGTGTTGAAGTACTCGCCGAAATTGTTTTGAAAGAGAGTTCCGGAGAGGAGGACGCGTAAGCGCGTGTTGACTTTCATGAGCGCTTTTCGGAGTCTCGACTTAGTGCTTCTTGGATTATGGCCTTCGTCGAGGATGAGAATTCCCGGGCACTGCTTGAGGAGTTGGGCCATGTACTTGCGGTGCGCGTAGTGAGAGTCCTCGCGGGTTAGGGTTAAAAACGAGGTGTAGCCCATTAGGAGGATGCTCGGTTCCGAGAGCCATCTCTGCATTTTTTCCAAGCAGTCGAGCACGTGCATCACGTCTTGGTTGCGAGGCAAGCCGTGTGCTAATTTCTTCATGCGTTGTTTTAAAACCTCGCCTTTGTACGTTTGGCCGCCGTGGATTTGGTGCACGGGAATCGAGATCTTCCACTTGAGGATCTCTTTGTACCACGTGTAGAGAGTGGTTTTGGGGGCGAGCACGAGCGGCCTCGAGGAGGGGAAGAGCTTGAGGTAGCTGACGAGGAAGGCGATTATGAGGAGGGTCTTGCCGGCGCCCGGGGAGTGTGAAATTACGCAACCGCCCCACTTCTTTTTCCGTTTTTCCATGCGGGAGGGGATTAACGAGCCGGCGATGTTGCGCCAGAGGAACTCGAAGGCTTTTCGTTGGTGGCTTCGGAGCTTATCCTTGAGCTCGGGTATGAGAGACCACACTTTCTTTTTCGTGTTGTCGTCGTCGGCTATGGTCGGGCCGGTGGGGGTGGCCGGGATCGGGATCTTGAACTTGTCGAATTCTTGATTTTCGGTCTTGTTATGTTCCGTGCCGTGCTCGTTTTCTTCGGTTTTGTGTTGTTGGTCCCGGTTCGGAGGCGCGTGCGTGCTGCTCGTGGCCTGCAGAAGATTGTTGTAAGGAGGGAAAATGTCATGTGCATATAAACAATAAATTTGAACGAAAACGGAAGGGAGAAAGTTATTGCAGAATGTATGTAAACTTACAAACGGCGGAAATATATCCTTTATATCAGTCTCGACAAATCCACACTGAGAGCAAATGGTCCCGATTTCCTCGTCGAGTCTGAAATCGTGCTCGCACTTGGGCTCCTCGCTTGTGCTCGTCGCTTTCTCTTTGGGAATAAACTGAGCTTGAGACCTCTGTATATACCAAATACAGACATGTAAATGTAAACAATAGAAAATGAACAAAAAATTGTAGAGTACTCGTGAAAAAAGCGAACCTCGATATCGTCGAGAAGGTACCATGAAGCCAAGGCAACATCCATTTCATTCCACAACATATCGACTTCCGATAACTCCACGTCATTATTCGCCTTTTGTTTGGCTTCCGGATTTTTTTCGCCTGCCTCATTGTTCGACTGGAATTCGTTCCACTGGTTAAGCACTGGAGGCTGAACTGGCTCGTTCCTAAGAGTCGCATCAATATTATTCATACACGTCCTAATCAACTCCCTGCACAGCTGCGCGGTATGCGACCCCTTCCGGAAGCTTCTCACGTCGTAAATGCTCTCCCTCACGTAAAAGCAGTCGCTTTTCATAGTCGTCGAATGGCTACGGACCCGATGGTATTTTCTGCGCGTGACCTTCGGTCCCCGACGAGTCCCCGCGCTTTCCCCAATGTCCATAAAGTCAAAGTCGAACCTCTTCTTCTTGTGTGATGATGTCGACCAGTTCGTGCTAAAGTACCTCGCCACCAATTCTTGTATCCTGTTCGGGTCGTCTTTCCGGGGCTTGGGCTCCCGAAAATTCTTCCCGAGGAAAAACGAGTCTTTTCCCGAGGAGGAGGAAGGGTTAGTCGGGACAATCGCGAGCTCTTCTTCTTCTTCTTGTTCTCCATCTTTTCCTTTTAGAAGATTTTTCCACTTGCCCGATTTGTTGTATTTCCGTTTAGCGTCCTTGAGCTTCCTCTCGTACGACCTTATCCATTTCTCGACCCCTCCACGGCTCTTGAACTCGTCGTTTTCTTCTTGTACGGAAAGCGCGAGCGGCATGTCGTCGTCGAGGGCGTTTTCGTCATTATCGTCCGACGACGAGCTATCGTCGTACTCGAGCTTGTGTGACTTACCCTCGCCCAATCGGGTCACCTCGAGCTCGTAATCCGGGAGATTGTCGCACGCCAAGTAACGATCCGGCCGCACGATTCGCCGTTTCGACCTCCGCAGCTCGACCAAATCGAACGACATCGGTTGCTCGTCGTCTTTGTCCCGTTCACCCGAAAGGTCGATTTCCGAGACGACAGGTGTCATCACGTCGTTCTCCGTTCTGAAACCCAAACTGTAGGACCGGTCGTTTGGGCCCATTTGAGCCACATCGGGTTCGTGCTCGGAAATCTCGTACACGATTCGATTGTTTACCGACCGGACGTGAAACTCGGTTCGCTTGGCGAAGGATGCAACGACGAGCCACGAGAGGTCAGACGAGAACGCACCGCAAGACAATTTGAAGTTGTGGACCGTAGGGCAGTCCTCGGAAAACGCCCAACGATAGTACTCGTTTTCGGACGGCTTTTGTTCGAGCCTTTGGAGAATGGAGATCCGGTCGAGGTTTACTATGATCGTGTCCTTGCTTATTCTCTTGCTCGTGAGCATGAGGTCTGAGCCTTGGTCGACATAAAAGCTTACGTAAAACCGGCACTCGCACGTGGGGCCGTGGGGTAATTTTCGCTCGATGGATCTTAGTCTTGCGTCGAGCCAAACCTACGTCGAGATACGAATTTAGTGTATATTCGTTAAAATGCATGGTAACCAATAAGGAAAGAGTAGCAAAGAAACGGGATATAATCGTAGATAATGAAATTGGACTTACGGGCTCGGGATTTTTCTCATTGTTTTCGTTTTGAGATTCATGAGATGTTGAGAGCACGCAAACATCGATTTCGGGCCTCAAAAAGTATAAGCAATCGGATGGTGTGGCTTTTCTCGACCTTATACGTATACTAGACATGGGAATGTTCTCATCGGTGACGAGCCCATTATTGACAATGTGCGAAGTGATAAATCCAACATTAACTGTCAGGCGCTCGACAGGTCTCCATGAGTCGGACCAGAAGGCCTCGAAAGCTGTGCATATATAGGGGAGAGAATTAAGCAACAAAACATTTATAGTATCGCAACGCAAAAATGGCTAAAAGTTATACACTTAACGAATGATACATTTATGTGAATCTCGAGCAAATAAAAGTACGCATGTGAAAAAGCTGAAATCGATTGATAACGACATGGATATAAAGGAGAAATAAGCAAGGCTTTCGTGTATGCTTACGCTGCGGACCGAATGGATGGTTTGGTTGATGTATTTGCTTTCTCT